GATCCTTCCAACCAAATCATAGAATTGAAGAGTTGGAAGGGACCCCAAGGGTCATCTAGTCCAACCCGCTGCAATGCCGGAAGAATCCCAACTAAAGCATTCTCCCACAGCCCAATATCCGTGGCTGGCATTAACAAACATTTCACTTTCGCCTTCTTTGAATGAGGGACTCACAGAATCTGAGAATCTTGGGGTGTTTTTTGTAGATCTTTCAAGGCCAGAGAGAGAGAGAAAATCTTCTGCACACTTAATTTACTTTTTCCCAGCCTCCGTGATCCAAATTCTCTCCTGTGAAATCCCAACAGGCGATGGCTTCCACAACCATGGTTCTCCATGCCTCAAGATTAATAAGGTCTCTTCTGCATTCTTTCTGAAAGGGGGGGGGGAAATCCACCTCTATTATTGCCATAAAAGTTTCTGTTCTGCATCGAGCAGCAGGAGACAGTCTGGGACTGCTTTCTGTGTTCTAAAGCTTTGAATGGCGCCCCCCCCCCCGCCCTCCCTTCCAGGCTCTTCTTAGCCAATGGCTGCGAGGCATGCAGATGAGCCCTGATAACTGGCCTATCCATGATGCCGGAATTGGAATGCAAAGCAGGTCATAAGAGTCTTGCAAGTTGGCGGAGTAGGGGGAGAAGGAGAGCATTTTGCAGCATTTAAAAGTGCATTTGTTAAAAATACACAAGGCAGCTCTCCTCTCTCTTTTTAAAGTCCTGATAAGATCGAGCAACCATCCGCACTGGAGCTGATGTCAAGTAAGCACAAATAGAGGCAGCCCAGTTCTGTTTAGGTTTTCTGGTAAGCAAATCCTATTGAATTCAGCGTTACTTCAAAGTAAATGGGCATTTGCTTGCAGTTTTCAACAGTATGTTAACTTTACTGTCACCGTCTATTTGCAGAGGTGCACCCTTCTATAAGCCATGTATATGAAGTCAAATGATTTTCATTTATGAAAAGAACCCTTGGGTTTTGGTTTGGGGGGAAAATAAATAAAATTACTTTAAGTCCTCTTTGGCACACATCCTTTTGATATGTAGCAGCAGGTAATGGTTTTATTTTTGAAGCCATTCTGATGAAATTCCCCAACTGCTTTTCAATCCCCATGGTACAGCCCTATAAATGGTGGTTCTTCTGCCCCACCTCTCTATTTTATCTTCCCAACAACTCTGTGAAGTGGGAAGGATGCAACGAGCCTAAGATCACCCAGTGAGCTTCATGACAAAGTGGAGTTTTTCCCGGTTTTTGGCTTCCAACATTTGCAGCGTTTCTGGCCAAAATCTTCTCCTGTTCCCAGAGTAGTTCTTTATGTCCTAAAACTTTTGCTCGATGTCTCTGTTCAGCTCTGGGATTTTTGACTAGGTTTTAACACATTTTTAGCAGCTGCTGACACAACTGAGACAAAATCAGTGCCTAGGCTCTCTTTTTTTCCTCTTCACACCTAGGTCGCTTTTCCTTTAGTGCCATGTCTCTTAGATTGTGAGCCTGAGGGGCACAAGGGCTGTCTTGTCATGGGTATTTGGGAGTCTTTTTTCAGCTGAAGAGCACAAGAAAAATGCCTTGTCGTCATAGCCATTTTGCCTTGTAACCATGAAGCTTTAATTAATGGGAAGGGGGAATCTTACAATGAGTGGCCACGACCCACCAAGATTTTAGGAGGAGCTGTGGCATGAGAAATGCACACACTGCAGGACACGGGTGTAGTTCTCCTCTGGGATTTGGATAGATGGATGGATGGATGATTGAGATCCCCAAAGACAAGGTAGGTGATGGAGGGCTTTCAGTTACCTGTATCAACCCTTTGCAAATGATGTAATAATAATAATAATAATTTATTATTTATACCCCGCCCATTGGCTGGGTTTCCCCAGCCACTCTGGGCGGCTTCCAACTGAATATTAAAAACAGTACAGCATCTGTACTGTAGCTTGTTTTTATACTGCATGCACATGTATAAGAACATAAGAAACTGCCTTATACTAAGTCAGAGCATCAGTCCATTGCTATAGATGATAGATAGATAGATAGATAGATGATAGATAGATAGATAGATAGATAGATAGATAGATAGATTTTAACATATAAATTATAAAATGTACCACAAAACTTATCACTTATACAATCTTTTTAGACTTCCATCAGCACCTCTGATGATCCACTGTTTTAACCACTTCTTATGCATTTCTTAACTTTATATTGCCTTTACATCTCTTAACAAATCATCCTTCCCCTTCTCCATTTTTGCAATACTTCCAATAATACTCCTCACAAAACTTCTTGCAAACCTACAAACGTGTCTGATCTTCAGCATCAGTCCATTGCTACCTCAGTAACGTCTTCATGGACCGCTATCTACTCTCCAGGGTTTTAGGCAGGAGGCAAAGCAAGTTTTCTTCCACTGAGCTGTGGACCTTGCCTGAAGGTATAGGGACACAGGAAATCACCTTATTTTGATTCCATCTAGCTCAGTATTGTCCCCACAGACTGGAAGTAGCTCTCCAGGGTTTCAGGCAGAGCATCTCTCCCAGGCAACGTTCGCCAGAAATTAAACCCAGAGCCCATTGCATGTGCTGCACTTGCAGAGCCCTATATAGAGATGACAGGGTACTTTGAGAACATAAGAGGAGCCTGGTTGCTGGATCAGGCCAATGGCCCAAATCGGAAGCCTGAAAGCAGGTCCTGAGTGCAACAGGATCTCTTCCCTACTTGTGATTCCCAGCCAGTGATATCCAGGGGCACACTGACATTGGAGGCAGGGCAATTGCCATTGTTTCTACTTTTTATACTTTTGTTGACTGTCCTCTGTAGAATTGCGGGGGGTGCACATTCTTAGATTCGTTGGCACAGGCTCAGTTCCCAAAATATTAATAGGCAAATAATCTCATCTGCAACAATGCCTCCTCAGTGTGGTTTTGCTGAATTTCAACCCCGCTATGGCAACTTTTCCCTTTCCACCCCAGCTAGAACTTTGTCTCAGGTGCTGTTGGCCTCTTGAAATCAATAGGGATCATTTTCTCTTCCAACCCTGTTGTGGAGCAACCATTATACCCCACCCCCCCAGGATTGCAAGTAGCTGCTCTCCCAGTTATTTCACCACTTTTTGATCAGGGCAAGAGGAGGAGGAAGTGTCCTTGCGTTCACTGTGGGGATGTATGTGTGTAGGGGCAAGAACTTTAAAAGCTTTGAAAAGCAAAATAACGAGCACTAGAAACTTGTGTGTGCATGCATGTGCATTTTAATAATTTAGCCTTCTGGAAGTTAGGGCCTCTATAATAAATCTATATTAGAAAAAACATGCAACATGTTCCTCTCTTTTAAAAGAATTTAAGATAGAGATTTTTGAGTCATCTCAGACTAGAATCAGGCAGCTTTTCTGTTGATATCTTCAGCAGCGTGGAGAGTGTTGACATTTAGACCTCTTTCTCCCAATCTCTAGTTGTTGCCAAACCATTCAACGCAGCTGGGACAGGTCTTAACAGGGGCATTGATCTTAACATAGGAGTAGGGCATGCATGGTGCAACACAGGTAAATATTCCAATAGGTTTTACCCTCTAATTGTGTTGATTTGGTTTCTTTAAATGAAATTTCCGGATCCCAGTATTGGGAATATTGTCTTCTACACCTTTACAAACCTTTACAAATACACTTTTCATAAGTGTATGACAGCACAGCGGGATAGCTGTCGGTAAGAAAATGAGACTCTAATCTCAGGGTCGTGAGTTTTAGCCACATTGGGTGAAAGATTCCTACATTGCAGGGGGTTGGACTAGATGACTCTCGTGGTCCCTTCTAACTCTCATGATTCTTTGTGGTCTGGTGTTGCTAATGCTTGAGTTGTGAATCAGGAAATCTCTTGTTAGAATTAACAAGGTGGTCTTGGACAAGCCGTTAATCATCTCAGCTTCTCATCAGACCTACCACCCAGCATTGTCATAACAATTTATGAAAGGTCACTCTGACGAGCTTTTGAAACCCTTTGCGATTAAAAGACTTAATGATTGTGGTGAAAACCATCTAAAGGACATCAGCCCCAGCGTCACAGGCTCTCCACCCTTGGATTAAAGGGTCCTAGGAGCTGAAAGCACCACCCAGAAAGGAGGCTCCCTGTTGTGTCTCTGCATGAGTGTCTGGTCTGACTTCTATTACTCTGTAGAACTACAATAACTAGGGTTGTATCCTGAAGCTTCCATTGTCGCTGATGGACTTGTAGGCTATGCTCCACCTATACTGTGTTCAGACCATACATTTTAAAGCATCATGTTGCCACTTTAAACAGTCCTGGCTTCTCCCAAAGAATTATGGGAGCTACCGTTAGTTGTGTGTGCTGAGAGTTGGTAAGTGAGACCCCTTATTCCCCCACCACAAAGTGGCTTCACACTCAATCCCAGGGAGCTCTGGGAACTGTAACTCTGGGCGGGGGATTGCAGTATATCCTAACACCTCTCAGCACCCTTAACAAACTACAGCTCCCAGGATTCTTTTGGGGGAAGCCACGGCTGTTTAAAGTGGTGCCATACAGCTTTAAATAGTAAGCTGTGAGTGTTTCCTTACTCAAGAGTAGACCCAATGAAGTCAATAGGCATAGCTGACTTCAGTTCATCAGTTTCATTGAACCTGCGCCGAGGATACCTTTGTTGGATTATGACCCTAGTTCTTCAGAATACAGTCATACCTCAGGATGAATACGTTTCAGCTTAAATATTTTCGGGTTGCGTGTTACTTCCGGGTTTTGCCGCTTGCACATGCGCAGACGCTCAAAATGACGTCATGCACAGAAGCAGCAAAACGCAACCCGCAGACGCGTCTTACGTTCTCTTCAGGATGTGAATGGGGCTCCGGAACAGATCCTGTTCGCATCCAGAGGTACCACTGTACTGTCTCTGTGGACTGATAATACACTGAAATGGCAATAATTTCAACTGTGTGCTAAACTGCTCTGTGAAAATGGTTTTGCAGTGGGCTGAGCCTACCAAGTGAATTGCCCTTTTGGGTCTCTCGTCCGCAGGTACCTCTCTGGGGATGGTTTCTCTCCGTTTCCGTACAGCGTTGATCTTGGCTTTCCGTCGCCTCCTTCTTCTCCCTCCATCTTCATCCCGACTCCTCCCAGCATGCTTCCACTGACCAGCCAGACACTCTTCCGCTCACCGCGCCGGACTTCCTCTTCCTCTCTCCCTGGAAGGCTGAACCGGGCCCTCTCCCTGGGCACTATCCCTTCTCTGGCCCGAACCGGTAAGGTCATAAAAGAGGCGAGGCAATAGCCACAAGCCAAAGCATTTTTCTATTTGATTTCGCACTTGCACCCCACTTTTCCAGCGATGGAAGTCGAGCCCAAGGCGGCCCTCGCAGATCATTAACAGCTTCAAAAATGAGTAAAACATTGCAAAAAAAATCTTTAAAAGCAGTTCCAAGACAGATGCAAACCGGGAAAGATCTTCCACCTTAAAAACCTTGCTGGAAGAAGAGGAAGGTTTTTCATAGGGGCCAAGAGATGGCACCTGCCTAATATTCAAGGGGAGAGGATTCCAGACGGCAGCAGCCTCCACACTAAAGGCCTGCTTCCTGCTTTGTGCAGAACAGGACTCCTCATAAGGTGGTATCTTCAGGACGCCCTCGCCTGCAGAGTTCTGTCATCGGCTAGGCATATACAGTGGTACCTCGGGTTACATACGCTTCAGGTTACAAACTCCGCTAACCCAGAAATAGTGCCTCAGGTTAAGAACTTTGCTTCAGGATGAGAACAGAAATCATGCTCCAGTGGCGCAGCGGCAGCAGAAGGCCCCATTAGCTAAAGTGGTGCTTCAGGTTAAGAACAGTTTCAGGTTAAGAACGGACCTCCGGAATAAACTAAGTACTTAACCCGAGCTACCACTCTAAAGGAGTGAGAGGATCTTTCGGGTATCCTGGTCCTGAGCTGTATAAGGGGTTTGTGCACCAGCACCTTGAACTTGCCCTGCTAGCTAAGTGATAACTTACTGCTCTGTGTAAGGCCAGTTAGGCCAAGTGATAACTGACTATGGAGGCCTTGTTGCCACAGGACTGATCCAGCTGCAGACGTGTGTCAGAAGACATCTGCTCAGTGCAAGACAGTACAGATGCAGATCCATAAAGGGATGGGCACCTTCGACATGCTCTTTAGCTGTGGTTCCTGCATTGCAAGGGGTTGGACCAAGGTGATCCGCATGGTCCCTTCCAAATCTACCATTCTGTAAATCCTGTGACGTTTTCCTGGCATCTTGGGACAAGCTTCAGGGCTGCGAGTCGGAGAAGGAAAACAGAAGGATCCTTTGAGCAAAAGGGATTTAGGAGAAAGATGGTAGGAGGGAGCTGGGGGTGGACCGAGGGAGAAATGCAAGAGGGATACGGAATGAGAGGCGCTCCCAATGCTTTTTGGAAAATGGTGGTTTGATGGGATTCCTTTTCGTGGCCGCTCTGTTTAACTTTCTTCCTCCTGGCTTGACACAACATCTTCTTTCAATATGTATATATATTTAAACTGCACAACCACCCTCTGCAGAAAGCCTCTCTGGAGAAAATCGGTACGGTCAGACTCATCCCTATCTGGAAAGCCCCAACTTCTTTCGGTGGGGTCTGCAGAACAGCAATGTCATCTAAGTTGAGCTTCCATTTTCAGGCGCAGTCTATCTCAGCACTAGGAACTGGGGAGACAAAGTGTCAGGTGCCTTCCTACCCTGATTTGGGGCTTTCTGGCCATGCGGGAGATGGGATCCTAGACTTAGATGGGCTTTTGAGCCAGCCCTATAAGGACTCTTACTTTCCTTTAGTGGGAAGGGGCAATGGCATAGCTGTCAACATTTCCCTTTTTTTAAGGGAAATTCCCTTATTCTGAAAAGGATTCCTCGCAAGAAAAGGGAAAAGTTGACAGCTATGGGCATAGGCCAGTGGGAAGGGTACCTGGTATGCATGCAAAAGGCTGCAGATTCAATCCCTTGGACCTGGAGAGAACCCTCCCTGAAATCCCAGAGAGTTGCTGCCCGTTGGTGTAGACAATATTGAGCAAGGTGGACCATGGAAGTAACTTGAATTACAAAGCAGCTTCCTTATTATTTTAGCATAGGGTATAATTCTCACCTAGACAGCATCTTAAAAAGCAGAGACATCACTTTGCCCACAAAGGTCCGTATAGTTAAAGCTAAGGTTTTCCCAGTAGTGATGTATGGAAGTGAAAGCTGGACCATAAAGAAGGCTGATCGCCGAAGAATTGATGCTTTTGAATTATGGTGTTGGAGGAGACTCTTGAGAGTCCCATGGACTGCAAGAAGATCAAACCTTTCCATTCTTAAGGAAATCAGCCCTGAGTGCTCACTAGAAGGACAGATCCTGAAGCTGAGGCTCCAAGACTTTGGCCACCTCATGAGAAGAGAAGACTCCCTGGAAAAGACCCTGATGTTGGGAAAGAGAAGGGACGACAAGGAGAAGGGGACGACTGAGGACGAGATGGTTGGATAGTGTTCTCGAAGTTACCAACATGAGTCTGACCAAACTGCAGGAGGCAGTGGAAGATAGGAGTGCCTGGCGTGCTCTGGTCCATGGGGTCACGAAGAGTCGGACACGACTAAACGGCTAAACAACAACAACATAATTCTCACGAAAGCCTTGGGCCTCCAGACCCTCAGAAATGCATTATTTGACACTTATCATTCATTTAGCATTCTCCTATGCCGTCGGTGATTGCTGTTGCTGCATGTAATTTGAGTTCATTTTTATTTTTTTAGATTCTGGCTACCTCTTCAGCGGAAGCCGGCCACCATCCCAGACCTCTCACTCCAAAGAGTCTCCTACATCAGGTGAGAAGAGCCCAGGCATTGTTCTGGGGTGCTTGAACTTGCCAGGAGGTTCCAGAAAGAGCAGAGATACCATTCTCTTTTTTGAACAAAGCACACGCACAAAAGAGAGAGAAACGCCTTTGTGGTCCTAAATTGCACCAGCGTTTCCAAATTAGGCAGGTCGCAGTAGCTTGTTCACACCGGTGACCTGTCTGTCACCCTTCTGAACCCTGTCTGGTTCTCTTCACCACCTTGGATACAAAGTAATCCATGCAGGCGTCACCCAAGGAACAGATCTGCACTGGTTCTAAACCGGTTTTGCAATCGCATCTTCAGATAACACAGAAAAACATTATGAGCAGCGTGGCTGAAGGGTGCCAAGACTTCTATTACTAGCAGCACCATTTCCACCCCATCCCGAAAAATCCTGGGGACCACACTTCCCCCTTGCAGGGTTAGCACCCTTAACAAACTACAGTTCCCAATATTCTTTGGGGGAAGTCATGTGCTTTCAAGGTGCAATGTAGATGTGACCAGAATTACACTTTAATGTGCTTTAAATCAGCTTATAATGTATTATTATCATTTATGATTAAATTTATTACCCACGTTTCACTAGCAAATCCTAGCGCAGGTTGCAACAATTTTAAAATTCAGAATTAAAAACCCTTTAAGAAAATTATAGCAGCAGGGTCCCAGGGTGGGTTACAACAAAAGTTCCTTTTTGATCTGTCCTTGATGTCTGTTGCTGATTCTAATTTATTATATATTACATTACCCTTGATACTGTAAGCCACACAGGGAATAATTATTAAAGGGCATCTATCTAGATTTACTACTACTGATAATAATATCATAAATAACGGCTGCATACACGCCATTACATTCAAAGCACACAGCTTCACCTAATGAAACTTGGGAACTGTGGTTTACTGCTTGCAGAGCTACAATTCCCAGCACCATTTAACAAACTGCAGTTCCCAGGGTTTCTTTCTTTTCAGGGGAAGGGAACCTGCTTCAGGTGTCCTTCCACAGTGGTTTATCGCTGCTTGCTTTTAACTTCTTTGCTCTCGAATTTGCTTTTAATTGCTTCATGCATGGTTTTCATCTTTTTAATGTAAGCCACTTCAATATATATTTTTATGACTTCACTATATATAAACATATTTTTTTAAAAACCAGTTTGGCGCATACGCAGCCAAAATCCCCACTTCCTGATTTCTACATATACTGAAACGCTGTTCCTCCCTCCCTCTCTCTCTGTTTCTTACTCCCATTTTCCCTCTCAGAATATTTTTCCCTCCTCTCGGGGAGCTGCGTCTCCTCTCCTGTGCCTTCGCCGGCACCGTCCGTGGCCGGCTCCGTGGCTTCCAGCTCTGGCTCCCTGCGTTACCGACGACCCCTCATCAGCCCTGCCCGGCTCAACCTGAAGGGCCAGCGGCTGATGCTGTTCTCGGCCCACAGCGAGGCCCAGCAGCAGGAGGACCTGGCCCACTCAGAGAGCAACGTTTTCACCACGGAGCTGCCCTCCTTTCCGAAAAGGAACCTAAGTGAGCGGGGACTGCATGGTACGTACCCGTCTGGGAGGTGGGACTTGAATCGGCTGTGCCAAGGTTGCAGTTTATCCTAGTTAAGACTCCGGTGGCTGTACCTGGAAACCCGAGCAGTCCAACAATGATGATGATGATGATGATGATGATGATGATAATAATAATAATAATAATAATAATAATAATAATAATACTGTGGTACCTCAGGTTAAGTACTTAATTCGTTCTGGAGGTCTGTTCTTAACCTGAAACTGTATAATAATAATAATAATAATAATAATAATAATAATAATAATAATACTGTGGTACCTCAGGTTAAGTACTTAATTCGTTCTGGAGGTCTGTTCTTAACCTGAAACTGTTCTTAACCTGAAGCACCATTTTAGCTAATGGGACCTCCTGCTGCCGCCGCACACAATTTCTGTTCTCATCCTGAAGCAAATAGTGAAGCACTATTTCTCGGTTAGCAGAGTCTGTAACCTGAAGCGTATGTAACCTGAAGCGTATGTAACCTGAGGTACCACTGTAAATTTATTTATATCCCGCCCTCCCCAGCCGAAGGTGGGCTCAGAGTGGCTAACAACAGTAAAAATAACACAGTTTACATAAAATCATAATCATTTAATTGAAATACATTCTAAAATCAATTGATTCTAAAATCAATTCAGAGTCAAATTAGTGGGAACCATTGGGCTAGAGTTCAACAGTGGCTGCCGTGAGAGGCTGGCAGTGCCAGATCAGGCCAAAGGCCCACCTAGTCCAGCATCCTGGCCACACAGTGGCCAACCAGGTGTGGGCAGGGCCTGAGCACAACAGTACCCTGGTGCCTTGGGTAAAACTGGCATAGAGTAAAACTCCTTGGAGCTATTGGCAAAGTGCGCTGGTTCCAGCCAACTCTGTTCGTTTTTCAGCAGAGGAAGAGCCTGCTGGACCAGGCCAGGGGGGGTCCCATCTAAGTCGAGCATCCTGTTCTCACAGCGGCCACCCAGATCCCATAAGCAGGCCCTGAGCGCAAGAGGTTTCCAGCCACTGCCATTCAGAAATGCTAATGCCCTCAGCCCATGGGCAGCTTTAAAAGAGGATTAGACAAATGCCTGGAGGAAAAAGCTATCAGGGTGGCTGTGCTCTACCCAAGGATGTACGAAGGGGGGTGCAGGGGTGCAATTCGCCCTGGGTTTCATCCTGACGGGAGGTGACAAAATGGCAGGCGGCACTCGTCAACGCGGGGCCTGCAGCGTGCATGCGGCCATGTCTCAGCGCCCACAAGCTCCATGCTGTCTGCCCACTGCCTCTCCCCCAGCTGTAGGGTGGCTGAGGCCCCACTGGGTGCCTGTCCCTTATGGGCACTGTGGCGTGCCCCATGCCGTCCCTCTTGGCACTGTGTGCCCCACCCCTATGAGTGGTTCGCCCCTCCCCACCCCTGGGCACGTCGCCCCAGGTGCCCAAAAGCCTTCCTCCGCCGCTGGCTCTGCCTCCGCAATGCTTCTGATCTGGTGTGATCCAGCATGCCACTCTTATATAGAAAAAGAGGTCCTAAACGGCCTCGGCCCTTCATACCTGAAGGAGCGTCTCCACCCGCATCGTTCAGCCCAGACACTGAGGTCCAGCTCCGAGGGCCTTCTGGCGGTTCCCTCACTGCGGGAAGTGAAGTTACAGAGAAACCAGGCAGAGGGCCTTCTCAGTAGTGGTGCCCACCCTGTGGAACACCCTCCCATCAGACGTCAAGGAAATAAACAACTATCTTTTAGGGGACATCTGAAGGCAGCCCTGTTTAGGGAAGTTTTTAATGTTTGATGTTTTATTGTTTTTTTAAATATTTTTATTATGTTTTTAATATTCTGTTAGGAGCTGCCCAGTGTGGCTGGGGCAACAAGATGGGATGCATATAAATAATACTATTAATTGTCCTCCTTTTTTAAGATATGAGAGCCATAACGGAAGCTGGGAGCATCTGCAGCGACGGCACTGTCAAGAAAGGGGAGAACTCATCGCACTCGTCGAGCTGCGTGGTGGACACCACGACGAAAGGGGAGGAACTAACAGGCTGGAGGGGTGAGTGTTGCGCAGGGTTTTGGTTGTGGTTTTTTTTGCTTAAAACATGGTTTGCCATGGCAAGAAAGTGTCTAATAAATATAATTAATAATAATTAAAATATGAAAGCAATTGAAAAACATTACCTAGATAATAGATAAAAACAAAAACAGACATGCAAAAAAAAACCAGCATAAAAAAGAAGCAAATATTTTATTTTAAAAAATAAACTACATTAAAACATCCCTTCCCCCCCCCTCAAAAAAAAAATGAAAAGCCATCGTTAAAAGTCAAAGACCTGGTTAGAAAGGAACCTTTTTGCCTGGCACCTCATTAATGTAACAATGGCGCCAGGCGAGCCTCCCTGGGGAAAACATTCCACAAGCAGGGTGCCACCACCGATAAGTCCCCGCTCTTTTGTTGCCATCCTCCTATGGAGGGGGGGGCACCTGGAAGAAGGGCCTGTCACAGATAATCATGAGCAGACTGGTTGGTTCACACTGCTAATCCTCTTCCTTCTCCGGTCTCCTTTCTTTTCCAATCAGGCCGTTTTGGCAACTCAGCGCTCCGAGGTCTCCTTGCCGTGAGCCTGACCGTCAACGCCATCTTCACGTCTGCCTACCTCTACCAAAACCTGCGCTGAGCCACGTTCCTGGGGACTGATGGCCAAACCACCACCGCCACTTCCTCTTTGTCCTCTCCCAAAGTGTTGCCACACTCCTTCCAAAGAGAGAGAAGGGGGGGTGGCGATTCTAGGATGAGGAGGACCCAACCACTGTGCAGCCCTTCCGTCGTCATATCTGCCTCCTGGCCAGCCGCAAACTGATCACAAGAGAACACACATACCCCCAATCCATCGCTGCTGATCTCGCCTAGAAGCAGAACACTTTCTCTTTTTAGGGAACTTTTGTGACCCATGCTGGGCGATGGTGGGGCTGTTTCAGCCAGTGCTGGGCTTCTCCAGTTACTTTGCACCTTTTTTTGAACCGGTTTATCAGGATGAGCTCAAAGATGCTGGCCAAGGGACTTTCTTCCTCCCCTTGTTTAATGATGAAACGTTAGCGTTGCTGACGTCTTGTTTGCAAAAGGACTGGGAAACATGCCGTTTTGGTCTCTGATAGTTCCATGCCGTTTCGTTGCTTCGTTGGCCTCGTTATACCTAACAAGACTTTCTCTCAGTTTCCCCCTCTCTCTAGTGAGAGAAGGAGAGGGAGAACCAGCACATAAACTCAGTTGCTCTGTGGCGTTCTTTTTCACCCTGGTTCCTTAACCACTTGCCACTCAGCTGCAGTTCATTTATTGGTGCTGCCATCGTATCTGTTTGTACTTGTTTGCAATGTTTTGCGGATTGGTGGATTGTGGGGGTTTTGTTTTTTTTTAAGTCAGTATCCAGTATCGTAGCTCCATTTTTGCCTCACGTACAGGCACCACTTCTACTGTAACAAGACGTTCTGATGTCACTGATATACACTCCGGCTCTCAACGGCCAGGGTGTTCGCTGGGTGTATCTGAGTTGGATTTTTGAGAAATTTGCTCTCAACGTGGTGTACTAGAAATGCCACAACTGGGAGGCAAGGGGATGTAGAAACTGGCCACTGTTTGCGGCTTCAGAGGTCTGTCTCCCACTGCATCTGTGACGTGTGGATATCTTCATTCAAAACTTCTATATATAGCCAAAAGCTGAAGTAGGTCAGGTTAAGGAATTCTGCCTTGTGCTGCAAAACTCAAAAATGAAATTGGTGCTTGCTATATCACTTGGACTGTGTTTGGATTGCACACATACAATCTAACCCGTTAGCTGGAACGGGTTACATGACTGTACCTCTGAGCAACAAATAAGTAAATCCCTGCACTTAAAAAGCTAGCAAGTTGGGGAAGTTTGAACTGACACTCTAGTTATCTGTGTGCAGGGATTTTATTTTATTTTTAGTTTATATATATCAATCAATCAGGTATTATGCTGCCACCTGCTATCTGGTGGTAGAGTCTAGACACATGTCAACCACCTCCTGCTCGTCATCTCTTTTAGAGAACCAGATCACAGGTGCTAGGTCCAAAAACTTACCCCTCTCCTAAAAGTAATTCCAAAACGTCTCACTTCACAGGCTTCCAGTCCTACATTCTACATGCTGTATTTTTTGGTGGGCATCCAATCACCGCCAGTTAACATGGGCAGAAACCCAAATTTTAATTCCTCCCAAGAAATTGCTCCTCTTTCTTCGGGGTATTCCCAAAAGTTAAATTCTGCCGCCGCCACCCAGGAAAATGTGCCCATTGCCAAATAGCTCAGCTTTTTTTGTTGCACTTACAGAAAATTTTTCAGACTTGAGGTGTGTAATTCTGTGCCGCGACGTGACTGCTCACCAACAGTGAAATTAAGCCTGTGATTTTACACCTTACCTGGTGGGGAGGTTTGTTTGTAAGCAGGCTGTATTTCTTTGTAGTACTCTATTCCAGCAACATCTGAAGGGAAGGCCACAGGTTACCCACCACACTGTAAATATCTTTCCATCTTTCAAACCACCTTTGGCTCTCTGTGGGGCAGGTGGGGAGCGATCACTCTGCTCTCTCTGCCTAAGGAGGGAGGAGGGAGACAGAATCCTTTGCACATGGTGCTAAAACACACTCGGTCGCAATCACTCTGGTGCAAATTCTTCAAATCACAGCGCGCCCAAGTAAAATGGGGTAAAGGTGTCTTGAAAGCACCACGTCTGTGTCTTAATTCCTTTCCGCCTTAATGCAATTGATGTGTTTCTTTGTCTTGCTATTGTCCTTTCCCCTCGCACAAAGTGTGGGGGGGAACCGCTTGATGATGCCAATTTTTATTTATTTATGTATATATATATTGCCCTGTCAGTTAGAAGCAAACAACAACAACAACAACCCACCATTTCACTCTCTTCTTGAATTTGAATGCAGCACAACCACCTGCGTTTAAATAACTATCAATTCTCAACTAAGAACCTGGGTTTAAGTGGCCAATTCCTTTATGGGAGCAAAGGGTGGGGAATAACAGTTGTTTGCCCATCAGCCTTCCGTGTCCAAGAAAACATTTAAAAACACACATGTACACTGTTCGCAACAGACAGAGAGGGGATTGGCTGCTGACCCTCTTTTTCTGATGGGGTTACAGGCACGTGGTGATAGTTCTGTACATATAGAATGCATCCTTTGAGCAGCTTATCCAGGAGCCTCATGAGGACTAGTTCCCTGACGAATGTAAAAACAACTGCCTTCAGGAGTTAACTCTTACTATCGAAATACACTGTGTTCCTGAGAGGCTTGAATTTTGGGGGTTGGGTGGGGATTTGGTGGGTGGGAGTCTTAAGAGAAGAAAAATGGCAGAGTCCTGGTTTTGATGTTCCTCCACTGGGAAACGTTGTACATTTTGTACTTAATATGACTGTGGGGTGGGGTTAACTTTGTACAGTTTGGTTAGAAATTTGTGTCTTTAGTTTGGATGTGAGGGGTTTTGTTCTTTTCCCTCTTCTTGCCCCCTACCCCTGCCATTCCTCCAGGGAGTTTATGTTCTGTGTTTGAGAGATTATTTTTCATTATAAAAGTGGAGAATAAAAATTAAATTGAATCTTGAGCATCTTGTCCCATCACTTTCCTAAATGGGGAGGAAAAATTGCAAAAGCGGTGTGGCTTTTATGTTCAATTTCAAACCGACTCACCTCTCTGATCATTTTGCAGACAGCATAGGTCAAGACAAGGCTTTCTATTCCTTTCATAATGTAGACAGGCAGGCAAGGGAGGAAATTATATTCTATCCCGTCCAAGTAGCTCATGGTCAACACGTCATCCTCACAAAACAACCCTGCAAATTAGATTAAACAGAGCAGTCCAAATGGGGATTTGAACCCAGATCTCTCTTGTCCCAGGCTAATGTTTGATGCAGGTTCGAGATATAATTTTATTTATTGTTTATTGAATTTATATCCCACCCTTTATCCCCCAAGGCAAACAGGGCGACAAACACCTGTACAATTTAAAAGCGAAAGCATTCTAAAACAGGCTGAAGCCCAAAAACAATTACAATTGAAAACTTTGCAAAACAGTTTAAGTTAAAAAAAAAAAGCATTGCAAAAGCAGCTGCAATTTTTAAAAAATCATTCCATCCAATGATCTCAGGAACAGGATTCTTCTGCCACCAAATGGCAGGGTAAACAGGTAAGTTTTCCAATTCCTCCTGAAGGTTAATTAGGATGGAAGACTGGCACACCTCACTGTTTACAAGCAATATTAAAAGTATCAATTAAAAACATATAAAGACAATTAATAAAAATATATGTAAAAATAATAAAACTTAGGACTAGAAAGGTTAAGACACGTTGCCATCTATGTTTCTGGTTAGGTTTGCCTGAAACAAAAATGTTTTCAGCAGATGCTAAAAAGAATACAAATGAGGCACCTGCCTGCCTGATGTCCATACTTGGGGGCTTTAAACCTGTGTCCAGGCAGTGCCATTTAAGCCAGCAACATCTGGGGGACTCCCTTGACAAAATACTTCTTTAATGTAGGCCTTGTTTGCACACAATGCTAAGCTACGGTCAATGTTAAGTTGCTTTATAAACCAACTACAAACCTTGGTTAACAATTAGCCTTTCACCATAGTTAATATGTCCATAGTTAAGCTACTGAAATGCTGAAGTATGGTTTAATTTTAATAATAATAATAATAATAATAATAATAATAATAATAATAATAATAATAATAATAATTTATTTATATCCCGCCCTCCCCAGCCGAAGCCGGGCTCAGAGCGGCTAACCACAATAAAAGTAACACAGTTTGCATAAAATCACAATCAATTGATTGAAATGCATTCTAAAACTAATTCATTCTAAAATCAATTCAAAACCAAATTAATGGCAACCATTGGGCTAGAGTTCTGTGAGGATTACCGAAGGAGGGGGTCAGACTGTGCCTTGGCCAAAAAAAACCCCCTAGCTTAATAAACCATGGTGTGATGTTATGTTCAAACTAGCATCTGTGCAAAAAGATTTCTCAACATACTGTGTTGAAGAGTATTGCTTTAACAGGTCATGGGACCCTGCCTGCAGCTTGTCACAGATTTACCACCTTTGTGGATGTTCAGCCTGAACTAAACCAGCTCTGGTTTTGGCGCCAAGAATCCTTTGGCCTGGCACGTTAGTCTCATTTTGTATCGGCCAGGGTGACGCAAGCAAGGATCCACCATCAACTTCTACACATCCATACAGGTTCTGCTTCTTGGGTTGTGTGGTTGTGTCAGACCTCCTTTCTGTTGATAGATGCCACAGATAACAATTTGTTTATTGTTCCATAAGGTGTGTTGGGGATTCAGTTGCCCAAGCTCTTTTGATCATCCTTGCCAGGTAAGTTCATGGTGATGTTTATTGCTGTTTATTGCTGTTCTAACCCCTCCTATTGTGTAATTTTTTTAATTTAAAAATGTGGTTCAAGGGGTGAAAATGGAATCTGTATGGAGCTGGAACACAAGCTACCTTAGACCAAATTGTGTATATAGGCCAATATTGTCTACTCTGAGCGGCAGCAGTTCTCCAGAGTCTGAAGCAAGAAAATCTTTACTCTCAACTGTGACCTGCAGGGCCACATATCAAGTGCTTGAACAGAGTATAGAAACAAAATAAGGTACCTTTGGTCAGGGCCGTGCTGAGCATGACGCGTGTTCCCTAACCCTGGGAAGCCCCATCCAGGAAGGAGGCTCCCTGTTGCAACTCTGCATGAGTGGCTGCTCTGGCTTTTGTTAAGACAGATTGGAAACGGGTGGGAGAATCTTTGACCCTCCCATCAGCCTCGGTCATGGATAATGGGGCTTGTAGTCCCAGCAGTATTTGGAGGCAGGGGCACAAGTTCCCTATTCCCGCTGCTGTAATATCTGCTAACAGACAGCACTCTTGGCTTTTCAGAACGCCTCCAGAAATGTACCAAGCAGAAAACATGCTTAGGAGAGGCAAACTTGTTGGACAGCCTCCTCCCACTGTTCTACGTGCTCTTAATTACCCATTTGAACTAATACCCTTTTTGGTAGTGGCCTAATCCTGCCAGTGCTTGAAAGAGATATTTTGTATGGTAAGCAAAGCTTGTACGTACTCTGTGCTCCTAACAAATAAAAGCTCTCCATAATCTATGCCCAAAAAAATAAAAGGTGAATTGTCATCCGCATGCAGCTTGCATTTGTACGTAAAGTGATCCTGCTTGCTTGCTTGTTTTACGTACTTTATAACTTTTTTTAGTTTAATTCTGCTAGGTGCAGGTATAGCCATCTGATTTATTCAATTGTTATGGTTATATCCTTTTATCCAGCGCTCAAGGTTTGCCATATGCAAACTTCTCTCCATTTGCATCCTCACAACAACCCTTTGAGGTAGTTTAGGCTTAGAGATGGTGACTGGCCGAAAGTCACCCAGGGGGCTTCATGGCTGAGTAGGGACTCAAATATGGGTCTCCCAGGTCCAGCACTCTAACCACTGCTCTACACTGGTTCTTTGATGTTAAAAAGGTAAAGGGACTCCTGACTGACTCTGGGGTTGCGGCGCTCATCTCGCTTTATTGGCAGAGGGAGCCGGCGTAGAGCTTCTGGGTCATGTGGCCAGCATGATTAAGCTGCTTCTGGTGAATCAGAGCAGTGCACGGAAACGCCGTTTACCTTCCCGCCGGAGCGGTACCTATTTATCTACTTGCACTTTGACGTGCTTTCAAACTGGCAGGAGCAGGGACCGAACAACGGGAGCGCACCCTGTCACGGGGATCCGAACCGCCAACCTTCTGATCGGCAAGTCCTAGGCTCTGTGGTGTAACCCACAGCGCCACCCCCGTCCCTTCTTTGATGTTAAAGGTGGGCATTTACTCATATTGTGGCAAATCATAAGGGCTAAAAACTCGTGTTGTTGTTTTTTTATCTCCAAATTTAGAAGCCGAAGTTCACAAAGCTCCCTTATGCCCCTAGCATCACATTCCTTCGGGATACAGGGGCAGGGGGAGCAATTTCTCCCCCACCCCACTACCTCCAACACACAAAACCATCTCTGGCCCTCAGTGGTTAGGTGACAGAAAGGCATTATTCACATACAAAATATAGTAATGAAAATGGCAATGAAAACAAGCCTGCTATTCTGAAGAGCCTGTCCAAGCCTAGGGCAAGGGAATTAATGTGAATCTTTAATATTTGGACCAAAGTTTGCACTTCCCCTAATCTGAACTTTGCCCCTTTCGTTGTCTTCTGTCTCCCCCACCCAGATATAGAGACATAGGATGCTGCCTTATGCTAAGTCAGACCACTGGTCCATCTAGCTTAGTATTGTCTGCACTGACTGGCAGCAGCTCTCCAGGACAACAGGAAGGAAGTCTCTCCCAGCCCTACCTGGAAATGCTGGGGGTTGAAGCTAGGACCTTCTGCATGCCAAGCAGGTGCTCTCCCACTGAACTATGGCCCTTCCCCATAGCATTTTCTGATGCCACCTCTGCCTGACTGCTAGGCTGCAAGCACAACTGCAAATGAATGCACCTGCCTATTTTGAGTTACTTGGGTCAAATTGTATGCCATGTGTTGGTCCTCTTTGTACAGATGGAGATGCATTTCCGCAGGGCCTGCAAGACAGAGCTGTTCCACCAGGCCTTTGGTTTGGACTTAGTCTGACCCTTATGTTTCCCTCCCCTTATGGTTATGATGAGGCTGCATTTTAAATTGCATTTTAACCTGTATTTAAAATTTGCCCCCCCCCATTATGTTTTTACTGTAATTTTTTACTGTTGTTAGCTGCCGGGGAGGGTGGGGTATAAATAAAATTATTACTATTATTATTAATCAAAGATTGTTGAGCAGAGGCTGGAGGGCCATCTGACATATATGATCTAGTTGAGATTCCTGCATTGCAGGGGGCTGGACGAGGTGAAAGAGAAAGCACTCTCTGCACATGTTCTCTTGGTTATCGCTTTGCATGCCTCAGGCTGGAACCGCTGCTCAGGGGGCAGAGAGCCTGAAGCAAATAGCTGCAGCCCAACATTCATCCTACTCAGAACAGCAGCAGACCCATTGAAATGAATGGGCATTGCTAACTTAGCTCCACTCACTTCAAGGGCTCTACTCTGAGTAGAACTTGGATGGAAACAACCCTAGGCTTAGCTCCGGGTTCTAATCAAGTTCTGCCGTTTTGCCTTTGTTTCGCGTGCGCTGGGACAAAAGTTTAAAAGCTTTTCCACAAAGTGAATTGCCAGCGGAGCAGCGAAATAAATAAGGATCCAAGCCATAGAAGTAATGGGTAAAAACTTCTTTTGGACGGAGAGTCAGGATCCTTGGCACTTTGGGGCAAAGCAACGTCATAAAAAGAAGAAATCCATTAAAAAAGCAAGAGTTTAATTGAAATGATCCTAATTGGAGAGCGATTCTTGCTTCTCCGCAGTCTCTCATCAGCAAATCACAGTTCATGGGAGTACAGTATTGGAATTATTTCCTCCCCCTCGCTCCTCTTGACTCTTGGATTTTTGGCTCCGCGCAAGAAAATGGGTCTGTTCGCCAAAACTGGCACAGCGCCAAGGTGCACCCAAGTTCAGGGCAGCGGTGACCTCCCTCTTCGGGGTTCACA